AGTAGATGGCTTGGGGGGAAGGGGCAGGGTGGAGAGCGGGAGGTGGTGGTAAGCACTAGGTCTAATTCCTTGCCAGTCCCTAGCATTGTGAGAGCATACAGTAAGCCCTTTTTGGAGCCCCAGTCCTCTTTTCAAGGGGGACAGAGTAGGAAAAGTCACAAGTTAGTGACTGGGTCTGATTTCTTTACAAGTTCCAGCACAGGGCAGGCACACAGTAGAGCCTGTGGGGGTACTGAGTTAGAATCCTTTGCATGTCTCATCACACATTGAGCACACAGTAAGTCCTCTAGGTCTGGGTCTATTTTGGTCATGTGTGGGAGGGGTTTGGTGGGTGAGGGTGGGGTGCACACAGGCCCCCCAGCGGGTCTAGGGGCCTAGTCAGTATCATTGAGAAGGATGCAGACAGCACACGAAGGAAGTTTGACCGTATATTTTTATTGGGTTGCTGCTCCCTGTCGGACCCTAATCCCAGCGTTGTCTGGATAAACTAGGCCGGGCACGCGGCCCCCAAAGCGGTACGTGTACTTGCGCCCACCGCTCTTTCGCACGATGTCCCGGCGGTAGTAGTAACGCAGGCCTCGGCTCAGCTTCTCGTAATTCATGCCGGGTTTTCTCTTGCGCTCACCCCACAGTCGCGCCACCTAGGGCGAAGGCCAGGCTTAGTCAGAGAGGGTGGGAGCGGGAGGGCTTAGCAATAGATGGGCAGGGTTCCGGACACAGGTTAGGTAGGGCAGAGTGCGGTTGAGGTGAGGGCATTCTGGGCGGACCAAGGGCGAGGCAAAATGAATGGTGGTGCTGAGTTAAACTAGAGGAGACTAGGGCCCGACTGGGCGGGTCTGGGAGGCTGCCCCACCTCTTTGGGGTCGCACAGTTGGAACTCGAGGCTGTTGCCGGTCCAGCGGATGCAGGTGCTACGCGCCTCGTCTTGGAGCAGCTCCAGGAGGAACTGCCAGAGCTGAATGGGACCTGCGGGGGGCGGCAGGTGAATACTCAGGTTTTCTGGCCCTGGTCCAGGTCATTTCGATGACCCAGGAGTCTGGGGTCCCTCACCTCGAAGGTCCAAGGGTCCAGGTTTCCCCAATTGGGACCTAGGAGTCCGGATCCCCTCCTCCTTGGGGACCAGCGAGTCCACATCCCTCCATATAAGGGACCCAAGAGTCAGCCTCAGGCCCCATCTCGGAGATTTGGGAGTTTGGCTGCCCGCTCTGAGACCTCGGCATCCAGACCCTCCTGTCTTCCTCCCTCGCTCCCTAGAAGACTGACTACCTTGGACTCTGGAGTGAGGGCTTAGGAACCTAAGTCCCGCCCTCTCCGCCAGTTTCCCGGGTCCCACCCCCTTCCGCGTCCAGGCCCGCCTCCCTAGACCCCAGCTGCGCTCCCTGCAGACCAAGTCTCCGGAGCTCTCACCTCGGTGGTTAGTTTTGGGGTAACGAGCCAAACTTGCACGGTCCAACTGCTGCTTCGGTTCGGAGGAAGCGGTGAGATCGGAACTCTGGTGCTCCTTGGAAGAGGTGGGGCAAGCCGTATGCAGCCCCGAGTCCCAGGAGGTGGGACAGTCCGAGCCCCCAGGCCCGCTCCAGGGAATGGAGTTGGCGCGCCCCTCCGCGCGGAGGCCCTGGCTCCAGTATGCGGCGCCGTGGGAGCCAAAGGGACAGTCCCGGCCGGGGGAGCTCGCTGTGGTGGGGGCGCGCGACCACGAGTGGGTCCGGC